TTGTTGTGTCCTGTTCTCTGTGCCAGGTTCCTCTCGGAGCCGGGATTGCGCTTGCCTGTAAATACTTTGGAAAAAACGAAATCTGCCTGGCCTTGTATGGGGATGGTGCAGCCAATCAGGTAAAGGGGCATGGCTGGGGGGAATCCATTTTCCTTCTGTGCTCTGTGAGCTCTGCTTTTACTCCAAGGAGTTGGAGAACATGTTTTACCCTCCCTGTGTACCTGTAACACGGGCAATGCTGATGAACTCCATATAGGTGGTGGGCATGTTGAAGATTTTGAACACTGCCACCTCTGATTTGAGTTGTGTCCGGTGTTTGAGTAGGGACATGTTTCAAGGAGTGATTCAGATGAACAGTCAATTGCTAGCTGTTCTTTACATAACAAAAATGTAGCATGTGCTTGCAGTTTTTAATGATATTTTGGACCAGTGTCCTTCCCCACCCCCATTTTGAGCTTGGCCCTTGTCCCTGTAGTGGAGGGAAACCTTCCTGGCACCTTCCCTTCTGGTACACAGTAGATACTCAGGGAGTAAGTGAGACTAATGGTTAGTTACATGAATGTTGCATGAGTTTGGGAGGAGGGGTTTCCAGTTCCTCTTTACCTCCTAACAGTTGTGCACAGCTCTCCTAAGTGTGGCACTCTGAAGTGTCTGTGCTGTAAGGATGGCTCTGAATGATGGCAGTGAAGATGCCAGTGCTGCTGACAATGTAGAAATTCAGAGGACAGAGCATTCTTGCAGAGCCACTTACTACTGACATTCCAGCCAGTCTACATGTTACCAGCCAAGACATTAAGGCAGATAAGCCGTTGGTGGTTTAGAGTGTACCATTGATTGTTCCCCACTTTTGAGGCTTTCAAAGCTTTTCACAGGCCAACTTTTCTCAGTTCCCGGTTTTCCCTGAATTTGACTCCGAGCAATAAGGCTGATACAGTTGTGCAGTCAAACTTGACTGGAGCAGCATCCTGCCAGGTTGATTGTCACGTTTTTTATGACTGTTGCTGAAATCCCTCAGTTAACATTGAAGGTTTTGGGCTGCCCTAACACAGATACTGATTCAGGTTTAAAAATTAAGTTCTATAAACTACAAGTTGAGATGAAAGTTGTATTATATTGTGTAGCTTCTCTTTCATTCCTTCTGAACTGTAGCAAGTGGGTGGTTTCAGATCACTTTTAAAATGTGCAGACCTGTGCAACGGAAGGATTTTCAGTAGAGCCTAGTGCATGAAGGCTGAGCTCCCTGATGAGATAAAACTTCACTCTTTTTCTCTCAGGGCCAGATATTTGAAACGTACAACATGGCTGCCTTGTGGAAGTTGCCTTGTATTTTTATCTGTGAGAACAATCGCTATGGAATGGGAACATCAGTGGAAAGAGCTGCAGCCAGCACTGACTACTACAAAAGAGGATACTTCATTCCAGGGCTCAGGGTGAGTATGGCTTTTTTTTTGAGGGGGAATGTATGTGCACACACCTACACAATGCATACATATGGATTTCTTTTATTTCTACAGTATTTACTTGAAGCTGAATTCCTGTTCCACCTGAGGTTGGGAGTTTGGGGGCTGGCATTTTTTTGCCTTAACGTGTAGTTTCTCATTGCCAGGTGGATGGCATGGATATTCTCTGTGTCCGAGAAGCAGCAAAGTTTGCAGCTGACTATTGTAGATCTGGAAAAGTAAGTCTGTATTTGGCATTCCTTTTCCATGGGTGGAATTCTTACAAACTATTGCTGCATAAGTAGTTCCTCAATTTGTATTAGCCAAACACTTAATAGAATATTTATACTGTAATTTTTTTCCCATTTCCACCACAGTCAGCATTCTGTTGTGAAAGGTGTTATGATTGTCAGGCAGTTGTGTTCTTTGTGGTTAGGTAGGGCAAGCATCAAGGAAAGTAATAATCATTGTCTGCAAGAAATGGAAAGTGAAGTAAAAGTTCTGTCAGTGTTAGTGTCTATCACCCAAATAGGATAATACTGGGTTTGAAGATTTTTAATACTTGAAGTAATGAAAGTTGTGTGAGAAACAACAGGTAATTTGAAAGACTCTGAATAATGGTGGAATGACATATGAAGGAAGGCTAGTGTTTAGTGCTGCTCAGTAAGAATGTGATAATAAACACAATATCAGCACATGCTTTCATTTGAAAATAATTAGGTTTCATTTTATTGAATGATGTTGTATGTGCTAATGTTATATAAATTCAACTGAGAAAAAAAACATTAAAATAATTGATCACTGGTGCAGTTCATYTCYAGCAAATACTTGCTGATATAACAARTTGGTCAYTGATGGTGGTAACACTCTGYATTTTCATTKGAAGGGTCCTCTTGTGATGGAGTTACAGACATATCGTTACCATGGCCACAGCATGAGTGACCCTGGAATAAGGTACTGTCACATTCTTCTTTCACTGAGAAGGTGTCAGTGTGGATGGTCAGATTGTAAGAGATTCAACTGAAATTCATTGTTTAAAGCAGCTTTCAGATGCATTTAAAGGTTACAATGAAATTGCTATGAGTAGCTGATCACTCATCTCATTGCTCAGCTGATAATCTGGGGCCATATAACACATTTGTTTTATTTGCAGATTTCAAAAATGTGGGTTTAGAAAAGGCACAAAGTCAGTTAAACTCCTGTGCTCTCTATTAGTGGATTCTTCTTTCAGTGTGACCTTATGGTGTGTCCTAACAAAGCTTGGACTGGAAAGCAATATTCTTTTTAAAAGAGGATTAAAATCCCGTGAGGTAAAATCACAGGAACAGTTTGGATTGTCCAGACAAATGGAACACTTCCTAAAAATACAGCCAGAGACTCAGGACATTGCTTTACCTGATAAAACTGAATTTATTGTCATGAAGTAGAGGTGTATTTCAGCTTTTCACTGGAAATTTGCAGTGAATTGGAAGTGTGTAACACATCATGGAGCCCTCTCCCTAGGAGTGGAGGGGGAGAGGAAATGTGGCCCCTCAGGGTAACTGTCTCAGGCTGGGCTTCCTCCCATTTCCCCTGAGTCTGGGGCTGTTCTGCTCCGTTGGCATTTCCACATCTGTGGGGACTCTGCTTGTTGCTGTGCCATCCTTTGAGTGCTGAATGTTCTGTTTTCATGGCATCCCTGACAACTCTCTGGATACACCTTTTTCTAACTGTGAGCTGTGTCCAGAGCCTCACCCCTGCTCCAGAGTTCATGTCTTTGCCTGTCTTGCTCCTAGCTATCGTACCAGAGAAGAAATTCAGGAAGTGAGAAGCAAAAGTGATCCCATTACATTGCTGAAGGACAGAATGGTCAACAACAACCTTGCCAGTGTTGAAGAACTAAAGGTATGGCTGCAGTTGCTCTGTGTGAAAGTGCTGAGCAGTCACACACTCATGATCCCTGAAAGGCACATCACATCACATGCACTGCTCCTTCTGTGAAGTTCTTCAAAGTTTAACATCATCTCAGAGGTGAAGGTGTAAGTTTTGTTGCAGAGCAGCTACTCAAGGTGTGTTCTGTAAGGAGTAAGGCTGTGGGTATCATTTGCTAACAGGTAGAAATCAAAATGACCTGGGCTTTCTTGACTCCCCAGGAAGGAGGTGAATGTTGAAAAGGGAAGTTCCAGTAGTGAAAAATCCCAGTGAAGGAGTCAGAACCTCTCTAAGCAAATGTTTTAATGAGTCAGCTCTGTTTAAGAACCAGTGGCACTGACACACTCAGGATTTCACATCATCAGAACAGAAAATGGAGAGGCTCAGTGGGGTTCTGTTCCCTGTCTGTGAGGTACCAGTACTACCCAAAATGCTGCASTTTAGTAGGGAKKGAGYTTTTMTAGGTTTTTAATTTTATCTAGTCAGGGTTAACTGTTACTTAATCATACCATTCAAATACAAAATGACGATGCTTTTTCTGAGCTGTCTTCTAATAAGATCCATTTCTGGTTTAGGAGATTGATGTGGCAGTGAGGAAGGAGATTGAGGAAGCTGCTCAGTTTGCTACCACTGACCCAGAGCCTCCACTGGAAGAACTGGGGCACCACATCTACTACAATGAGCCACCCTTTGAAGTGCGGGGGCCAAACCAGTGGATAAAGTACAAATCTGTCAGCTAAAGGCCTTTTTCTTGGGGTAACTTATTCATGAGAATAAGTGAATCCATTTACAGAACTATAATAAACAACTCTTAAGCTTATTTAAAAGCTCTTTCAAAAGAGGGAATGTGTAAGGAAATCCATCTGGGTATGGAATTTCTTAGAAATGCTGAATGTTGTTTCAGAACATACTAAGTTAAGAGAAAGTGGTTTATTTAAAGTGCTATATATTTGCTTTACTGACTTTCTTTGGATTGCTGTATGTGTTATGTACAGTGTAAAAAGAAAAAGMAAAATTAAACTTTACCAACCTTTATCTAATGGTTGTTTGCTTTGTTTTTTCATTAACTGTTTCCTAGAAAACCCACCAAAAATGCCATTTACATAGTCTGGTTTTGTTGCCAAAGTGTCACTAACTGAAAACATTACACCAGGCTTTTCTCAGTGAGAGTAGGTTTAATACAAAAGCTGTATAAATCCATCTACAATGAGCACATCCCCTCCCTGCTCAAACCATCAGCAGCAGACCTGTAACACATTTGAAGTTGACAGTTTTCACAATGGTAAAGCCAAATCAGGTGAGTTTTTTCTTAGCTAATGTTTTCTATTACAATTGTATGGATTAGTCTTGTCATAAATAATTGAAATGCACTGACACTGACTTAGAAGCTGTTATTATTCACTGTGTTACACTGATGGTCAAACAAGCTACATCATTGTGCAAAACCTGCAAGGCCACTGTACACAGAAATATATACATCTCCTAATGAAAGTGCTGGGAATGTTTTTCATTTGCTGATTCCCATTTGGTGTTGTTCCAGAGCGTTGAGCTGTGCTGAGGTGTTGCCAGATGTTTGTCTGTGGGTTAGGATTGCATTCCAGATCCTGCAGCGAACACCACCCCTGCATGAAGGGAAATGGGAAGAGTCAGGAAAACTCCCTCAGCTCCAGTGCCTTAAAATGAGCAGGAAATAAAACAGAAATCTCGAGGATAGAGCAGTTATAACAGCACATAACAAACTGCACTATTCCATAATTATAGCTGAAACTTCTTCCAGGTCAGCCACAGCTTAACAGAATGATTCAAGTCCTTTTATCATCAATGGGTAGGAAAAACAAAGCTTTCCATGTGATTTCATCATTGTGAAGGGTGCAGAAATGGGTCCCAATCTTGATAAATACCAAAACAGATGGCTCGAAGCATCCTTGGTGGAGTTGTGTCAGTTAAAGGTTTTCACATCTTATCAGAAAATCTGAGGTCAAACTGACAGCAGTTGCCTCTGAACCATCACTGTTCTATGTGAATAACTAAACTTTAAAAGGTTTTTAACAAAATATGTTAATGAAGCTCTTAACAATGAATTAACAAGCACTTTCTTACCGCAGCTGAAGATACCACAAGTCATCTTTGGTGATGTCATTAAGGACAGCACTCAGTGTATAATCTTCTTCAGCAAACTAAAAGGCAAATTTATTCATAAATAAATATTCTTTCTTTGAAACCAAACTGCTAATTATGACTAAAATTAGGGATTTTTTTTAAATGTGATTTTTTTACCCTCTGAATGGTATCCAAGTCTGCTCCTTGTTGTTTCAACCAGTTCATGAGCTCTGGGTCTGCATTTTCTCCAGAATTTGCTGCAGAGCATTGGGAGTCTTTAATGGAAAACAAACAATGGTTGAACCACCTCAAAACCAGGGCAAAAGTGGTTGTTTTCAGGTAACTGAAGCTTAAAACTATATGATTCTGCATCCTTTCAACCAACCCATGATCCCATGTGTTTCTGTGTAACTGCACTATCTCCTCATACCTTTGGGTTTAAGTTTTAATTGAAGCAAATGTAATTCCTGAGTCTTCTGCTCCAAAGATTGTCGTAAGAGGCTCTGATACTCTTTCTCCTTCTGAATGAGGTTTTCCAAAAGCCTTAAGAGAGATCAAACACAACCACACTGAGAATAAACTGAAAAAATCCTGTCATTTTTGATGAGTACCACAGAGGTATTTGTGAGGTACTGTGATAAGTAACATCTCTAATGGCTTAGATTTCTTTTTGGTTGTCTGAGACTCAGGGGTGCCACTTGAAGGCTTTCACATGCAGAATTTAGTAAATAGCTCATAAATTCTGTTCCTACTGTTTTGCAGTCTCCCTGGGCAGAGTTGCTGCCTTAATGCTGTAATTTACTGCTGAACAATGTAACACTGATATTTTACCAGGGACTTTCTAATCATGGATTCACATCACATCCAGAAAGAAGAATGGAAACTTCAGCTGTCAACATCCTGGCAGCATCTTACACATAAAACCCATGAAAAACAGGGCAGGGCTCTGCTGAGCTCTGCTGCTGCTCCTTAGAGGACGTTCTAGGACAAGGAAAGGCTCTGCCTTTCCTTGCAGGAACAGCTTAGAGATACTGGGCATCCAAAAAGTACAGTTTATATAAACCCAATTAACAGTTGAGATCCAATGGGACATTCAGCAATTAAAAGATTAATTACAGAGAAAAAAGGCTGTACTGAAGCATGTCCAGTTGTCATATTGGTGTATTCCAAACCCATCTGTGCTCCTGGAAGGTTTTATCACAGGGCAGTAGGTGAGCAGTGCTATGGCTAAAAACATCCCCATCAGTGAGAAAAGCAAGGTCAGAGCTTTTCCCAGCCTGCCTGAACACTCACCCAGAGTCTTTACAGCAGAGTTACCTTAAAGTGCCACATTGGAGTGTGCCCAGCTCCTGGCTGAGCTGCTGCTGAGCGTGGTGTGACAGCCCAGAGCTGAGGGTGCTGAGCCCCGAGGTGACAGCAGCGTCCTCAGCCCCGTTTGGCTCCAAGGGCTGCAAATTCTCCTCCACCTCATCCGTGTCCTTGTCCCCACCTTCAGTTTCTGAGGCTGGCTCAAAGTGAGTGCGAAGCTCTGGTGCAAACAAAGGGGAAGAAGGAGATTTTTTTGGATAATTCTGTCTTTCAAGGTGATGCAGTTTGTTCTTCATTACTGTTTGCACAATGTGCTTTATTGCAATACTGAGCAGGGGGGCAGTGAAGCCTTGAGTGAGCTGGAGCAGATTTTCTGGCATTGGTTCCAGAATGAGCAGTGCAACAGGAAAGGTAGAACTGTAGGTCACATTTGCAGTGGGGACAAATATCATGAGATAAATAATAAGACAGTTAAAATATATCAAGGAGAAACCCCTGAAAGGTTGCTTTTTTCCTAAACAGTGGAAAAAAAAAAAAGTTGGTGTTTTCCCCTTATACCCAAGAGTGTACAAAGAATTCCTCCTCTCCAGGTAGCATTTCCAGCCCCAGTTCTCAGAACCTGCTGCAGGTGGCCACCCTTATACCAAAGAACAGTTGCCATTTCTCTTGTACAAACAAAAGTCCTAAAAAATTTTGCCAATTTGGCTTTAAAAGCCGTGGTGACTTTGCACTGAAAGGGCTCACTGTCACTAAACCTCCAGAACATTCCTGTACTGGAAGGGGTGCTCAGCATTGTAAAGAGTTACACAAGTACTCCTGTATTTCCAGCTTAACTCATTCCTAAACACTTCTCCTCCTCCTCCTCCTCCTGGTGATTTTCCCTGTTTCCATTGGGCCAGAATCATCCTCTTCCTCACATTAATGCAATCCCTTCTGTTCCACAGCTCATTAATATTTTTTCACAACACGTAACCAAACCCGTGCAGTGTTACCCAACCTGGATGCCATTAATACCTACAGAATGATTTTCTTTCTTACTGGAAAATCTCCAGCTTGGACTGAATTTAATTTGCTTTTTTTCTTTGTCATGGTTGGACCACACTGGAGGTGCAGAACACTGGTTTTTTTTCTCATTATGTGCTTTTGCACTGCAAGTACAGCATTAATCTTGCAGATGAAGAATTCTTTCTCTGCAGCACTCTGACCCCGAGCTTTGATGAGTGGCACACGGGGTGCAGTTAATGGCATTCTGACAGATTCAACAGCTGAGCTCTTCCATTTGCTGCAACTCTTTGATGTGTGAGAAACCTTTTTTGAAAGAGGATTATTTTCAGCTGCTTTGATTTACCTGGAATAAGAATAGTGACTGCAGCTTGGACTGCCCGGCGGATGATGTTATCCATTGCAAACATCCAGTGGGGCCTTATTAAATGATTCCTTAACACTTTGTTCACCTGGAAAAGCAGCACAAACACCATTTGCTCACACCTCAGGAAGGAGAATCGTATTTTCCAATAGTCATAGAAGCTTTATAAGGTAAAACTGCATGCAGCACTAAAACCCTCCCACCTTTCAAAGTCTAAACAACAGATTGGACAGTTTTAGGCTGCAGCTTTGAAACCATTTCAAACCAGACTGTGACATTCAAACCCTTCTACAGTACAAGAGGGGAGAGGAGTGAGGAACAGTGGAAAAGCTGTGAATCCCTGGGCTGAGCTCAGTCTAGGAGCAACATGATGTACTGGAGGGTGTCCCTGCCCATGGGGGGTTGGGAATAGATGATCTTTAAGGTCTCTTCCAGCCTAAACCATTCTGTGCTGCTTCAAAGAATTCCTTCAAAGAATTCCTTCAAAGAATTCCTTCAAAGAATTCCTTCAGAGAATTCCTTCAAAGAATTCCTTCAGAGAATTCCTTCAGAGAATTCCTCTGGCCTTGCATCAGGAAAGGAACTCACTGCATCCTGGAATCCAAACAGCACCAGATGGATCTGATTGATGGAGGTGCTGTCAAAGTCCAAATCCATTTTCAGCTTGGATATGGTAGAAGCCATCACTCTCTGCTCAGGAGAGTGGATAAAGTCCCTTAAAATCCCAATAATCTGCTTGATGTGGTCCACTGAAAGCTGCAGTTCTTCAGAGCTCTGGAGAGAAGATAATGAATGTATATCAGATACATCCCAGCATCATTAAACACCTAATTAGTAGTGTTAGTATTGCTTATGTATTTTCACAAGGATGCACAGAATCACAGAGTTTTTGTTTCTGCAAAGTCTCTAGTTTTTATCTTTTCCTAAAAAAAAAAAAAAAAAAGAAACAAACCAACCAAACCACCAATTTCTGTTAAAAAATAAAAAACCCAAAATCCCGTAAATCTATTGCTACTGTGGCTGTCACAAAGGGAAGAGGTTCCAGATTATATCTACACATTCTTGCAATTGTGCAGATGACACCTACACAATTCCTGCAGAGGGCAGCTCTCCTCCAGAAAAACAGCAAAATCAGTCGCTAA